CAAGTACCATTGTGGGTGAAGCTATTATGCAAATTGTGTCGGCTAGTCGTTTTCTTCTGAGGGGGCTTGGAGGTGCCTTTTATTTTAAAGAATTATGTGATACTTTGTCCCAGCTTCCTGTCTCAATATATTGTGGAATTATGCTATTAATCTTCAACATTTACAGTCAAAGAAGAGACTGAAGGACTGTTAGTGGCAGAACTAACACATGCTCCAAATCTGCTGGAGAGATTGGGACCACAATATCAAGGAGGGTGGCTGTTCAATTGATGGAGCTGAATTATATCTGCAAACCTGGGTTTCCTTAAGCTATGTTTTGTTTTCCATTATTTATCACAATCTGCTTTTTCTTGGACTATTAAGAGCTATTTGCTTGGAAAACACTGGATAAATTCTGCTCAGCTAGGCTGGCTGGTGGATCCCTAGCAAGGGTTAAATGGCACGGTAGCCCTTTTTAGATTGGGATGTAAGCAGTAAAAACCGGTTTGGTGATCACACATTTTGCTACGTGTGCATGCGCAGTTTTAACAAAACTTACCTTCCACATTACTTCTGGGAAGTAATACAGATGAGGCATGGCAAATCCACTCTGCCACGTGAATCAGATGAGAGGATATAGGTAAGTAAAGCGCAGGGGCAGGTGGACGGGCCCAGCTGATCATCGGAGCTACTGGTTCACCCGAACCAGCTGAATCCCACCCCTGGATTTAAGGCAGGGTCACACAAATCATGCAAGCTGGTCCTGTGCTGTTTGTGTACCAGTGTGAATCTGAGCCTGCTTAAAAAAGTCCTTTCTGGACCAAAACACTTTGGCAACAGCTTGCAACGTATTAAGTCTGGAGAACAGACTAACATGTCGTCGTCGTCCCCGCCACCAATTTCTCTGCAATGAATTTCTGTTCCAGAAAAGCAATTGGTAATTGCTTTCCTTTCTGGACACACAGACATTTTTTAATGTGATCTCTACATATGTGGTATATACATGCATACCAGGGAGGGAGAGACATAGAGAATGATGCAAAGTTTCTTTATTTATGGAATTAATAAAACCACCATGGTCACAATTTGTGAGTCTGGTGAGTACATTAATAAAAAAATTTAAAAATAGGTTTGATGATAAATAAAACATAAGGTAAAAGTATCAAAATGCACATGCACGATTCTTTCCTTAGCACACACCCTGTAGATACCACTGTAAAATGCCTGAAGGTACTGATGATTTAGATGCCTGGCAGACTCATAGTAGTATTAATCCCCAACTCCAGAAATTCATGGACTGATGGTATGTCCGAGGGCGGTGCATGAGTATGGTGACTCTCACGATTACATATGAGAGAAAAAGTCCCTCTGAAAAGAATCCAGCATTTTAAGAACCCGGCATTTTAAACGATAAGCAATTCCAGAAGAGTTCCCCTGGCTATCTTGTGGATTAAAAACAATGTGCAGCACTGGCCCTTCTCTATATTTCTTTTGATGGAAGGAGAAATGCTATGTTGCCTTTGCTTGTGGCTATACTTCATCCTCACATGGCTTTGGCAAGATATGGTATCATGCTGTCTCTCCATCCATTGATCCTTCCATTCCATCTGGATCAAGTCAGAGGCTTTCAGTTATCTGGAAGAAGTTTAAGGAAGAGAGGAGGCACAGAATAAGCTTATCCCACATTAACATAGAAGAAGAAAGAAAGTGCAATTGGATTTCTTTCCCCGGACTGATAATGTCAATTCTCACTTCACTTCAACATTTGGTAGTGTCCTCCCATACTTCAGTGGGCTTCTTTCACACTTTTGTCTGATTTAACACAGCATGTGATAAATTTAATGAATGCAAAAAACCTCCACTTGGTTCTCCAATATGCAGTTTGACAGAGTAGGCTGCTTTGGCCCGGAACTGGTAAGATCCTTGCGCCCTGACCTTTGCTGTATTTCCCAGAAATAAGTCTCCACAGTTGTGAGTAAGCCATTGAGAATGTCTTGCTATCTCAAACACAATGTACAGATGTTGTGGTAAAAGGGTGCTTATGTTTTATCTTACCGTTTATTATGACCTATTAGGAGAAATACTGTTTCTATATCTCAGCAGGGAAAAATTATCTTAAAAGACTGGAATTTTAATGTTCAGCTCCAGGCACCAGGAAGTCCCTGAAGGATTTTAGGATGCCGAGGAAGCTAGAAAACAGAGCATAAAGAAACAGTAGAAGGAAATTGGCATGTTTTACTAAGTAAAGATTAAATGTGGAAAGATGCTGACGGTTTTCTGACCGCTCAAGAAATGTCAGATGCAACAGAGGGAGACATACTGACTTATCACAACCAAATCATTACCCCAAATCCAGACAAGTGTGCTCATTTAGATTTGCAAACACTGATTAACATTCTGCCAACTAATTTATTTACTGATTAAAGTTTGCAGCCCTATCCCCCTCCCAAGAAAAGATCAAGCAGAACACAAATAAAGAAATTTTAATGAGGTTTTGTAATATGTAAATATATTTAAATGCAATCAATTAATTAATGGCTACATTGGTTAAAAGCCAGGTGACTAATCAACTGAAAAATTGCATTACTTGATAATTCTAACAAATATGCTCAAGTCTGAGCCAATTGTGCTGTGTATTTGACATGTTCTTCATAGTCCAGACAAACAATTCATGACCAATTGTGTAGGTTGAACAACAGGCTAAGTTGATGTTCCTCCTTGCTGCATCTTATTGCATAAATATAAGTCAGTCAGACACTGAGACTCCAGCCAGCTGATCATTTTCAGAAACCATGCTTCCAACCTCATAAATGTGGAATGTGTTGAGCTCATGAATGCCAGGCCAATATTGGCCAATACAAAGCTTATAAAAATAAAGACAACAAGCCATGACAAATAATATTGTGAGTCTAGCAGTAGTGCTATTCTCTAGCACTAGGCTATAAGAAAGATTCTGTCATGTTTTGTCAAGATTAACTATACAATTATGGTCTTTTAGGCAGCCTGTTTGTGCCTCATTTCTGATTTACTTGTGGGAGATGAGAAAGAAGCTGTCTCGGAGCCCTGCTAGGCACATTCCAACAAAATGCAGTTTTTCTGTCTCATCAATGGGGTGTACAAATTAGATATGCCTAAAATACTAAATTGAAGAGAAATTTATTGCAACTTTGCATGTTATATGATGGTGGTAATTCTGAACTCTAGTTTTTTTGGCTGTTTTAGTATGATTCACTTCCATCAAGAATGAAAACAATCACACTGCCTCTAAGAAATGCTCTGCTTCACAGTCTGGATGGCATCCAAGATTTTGGAGAAGGGTAATGTTGCATTTTCTTGCCATTCTGATATTGTGAAAAATATCACACAGAGCTATAACTTTGGACTTTGTTTCTCTGGATTCTCCAAAAGTTCATATTGAAATGCAGCTTTGATTGTCAAGAGCCGAGGTGGCGCAGTGGTTAAAT